CCTTGCTCCTAGTAGCAAGGCCAGGAGCCCCTAGTAGCGCCCTTGCTGCCCCTAGTAGCGTCCTTGCTCCTAGTAGCGATGCCAGGAGCCCATAGTAGCTTCTTGGGTATAGATATGGTCATAGTACAGTATACAAGTAGAACTGCCCATCATATGGCTCAATTTACAGTTGTGTATGTGTTTGTGTGATCAATGCAGATCGTGAGGCGCAAAATTGTGCAATAAGGAACGCAACAAACATGGACTTCTTTGACCTGCTCTCCAAGTATTCCTTCGAGCAAGCAAGTACAGTATATATGCTACAACATGATACGGCACAAAATGTAAAGTGTGGCGACTGGAAAATATAGTGTGCATTGTGCGGCACCGATTCCGGCAGCTCTGCCCGATCGTGAATGCCAACTATACACATTCAATGAAACTTGATTAGCTTTTCTTGCACACAATCAGATGCATCTTTATTCACTACATCTCACTAGCAGCTAGCTCTGGTTCAATGTCAGCCTGCTGAAATCTGTGGCAAGTAAGCTATGTTGCAAGGTGCACGTTGCAAGTCCAAATTATGAGACATTGAGAGACCGTATGTTATTGTCATGGAACACCTTAAGTCAAATTGCAACATGCTTCAAATGCGCTTCTTGCATCGATACCCTTTTCCGCCTCTTTAACGACGAAAGTGCAAACTTGCGGCTGGTCTGAGCCACACGCGAGTAGACACAGAGCGGCAGCATTGGCAATAATGCTATGACAGAGCACATCAATCATCATGAAAACTTCTAATCAAGTGTTTTCCGTGTGCCAGCACCACAAAAGGCCATAAGAATAAGAACATTGATTCATCTTGATTCACTGCATTTCTCATTTGTTTCATCCGATGTCATGTTGGAGGTCGCTATTAGGTCGGAGGCCATCGCTGCTAGGGTGGAGGCCGTTGCTTCTAGGTTGGAGGCAATCGCTTATTAGAATCAAAGAAAAACGAAAAGGAAGAAAGGTCTAACAAAAGACATTTGCTATTCTTGACATTTGCAAAAGCTGCCGCAGTTTGGGGACCAAGTCGGTCCCACCGGCTGCACCAGCCCCGGCAACGGCTGACGGCACGTGCATCGAATGAACGCCGCTCCGGGAGCCGATAAAGGCTTTGGTTGGGTATGTGATGGTATGTGGTTGTCACTAGAACACGTGGAACATGTTGTCCACAGACATGGGAGTGGGGCCGGCCACATTAAGAATACAAAAGCAACTTCACTGGCAAATTTGTCAACCTCGGTTGATTTGGTTTGCATGCTCTGACTCCTTACGAACAGAATACAAAGGCGAGACTGGGGTAAAGCGTTGTTCTGCAATACCCATGCCTGCCATGCCAGGAGCCAGTGCGCCAATTTCGCGCAGGGATGCAGAAGTTGGCTGCAGTCCATGCCAATGCAAGGACTGTTGACCCTAATGTGGGCTAGCAGCCTAGCAGCTACGATTCTATATCCCAGCGTTCTTGTTGTTTCGTCAAGGCCCGTCGCAGGCTCTTTCAGAAAGTGCGTTGATCAAGGGATGCAGCAGGAGCAGCTGTCATACACTACCACCCTGAATGCGTCCCCATAATATCCCATAATAACCCTGTGTACATATATACCTTAACTATTTAATACTATTATAGTTATATTTAAACCTGTAGATCCTCAATTGTGCTGCGCTCTGCTCGCGTCCTTGAGGTTCAGTGGAGCTCTACTCATGTTGAAAGGTTGGTGCTGCCGCAAAGCGGCCAGTTGCAGCACGTGCCCCAGTGCTGGGGTTCACCTGAGATGCAACACCATCATAGGCTCCAATGATGGACTCCTGCAGCGACACCAATCATGGTTCTTCTCTCCAATGTCGAGTATGTCATGTCGTGTAACTTCTCTGACTGGATGGCTGATGATGGCTGGGTCTTATGGATTTGTGCAATCAGCCACGTCCAGTACAAAAACAACGGCTGTCGCCGAATTCAAGACCACCTCCGCCCGCTCCTTGATGGGATATGTGGTCTTCCGAACACATTCGCCACAGGTCTGACCACCATTGACGGCCAACTGCCACAGAAGACATGAGAAGCAACAAACAAAGACAAATGAAGCAAAATCATCTAGATCTGCTGGATCATCTGTATAGGGGATGTCACATTTAATCTGCTATGATTGGAAGTATATATGTTTGCACAAGTCTCTCGACCATCTGCAATTAGAATCTCAAACCAAACTGAGTAGTTGTTGAGTGTTGTGGCACAAATTATTCGCAGATTATTTTATCAAGCAGTCAACCATTGTGTTTGGTGTCATGGCCATACGGGCCCCCAGAGGCGTGCATTTTTGTGTTGACTGTTTTTTCACGTTTGTTGACCAACATGTTGACTGCTTTTTTGATGTTTGTTGGCCAACATGTTGATGTTCAATTACATGTTTAGTTCTGGGCCAAGCAACAACGCCGCGATGGACTTAGAACGAGCGATTTGTTCAACGCTCTAGTCAGTGGTCTGCTGCTTCTGTGTTCACATAGAAAAAAACAACTGTACGGTACGCAGTGTTTTGTGCTTCCCTGCAAAGCATGCCCGGTTTACATGCAGTTCACAACATGATCATTGCCACAACGTTGTCATGAGGTGGGGGAAGATGACAACGTTGTGGCAATCACCATGTTGTGAAGGCGATGGCAACGTTATGCACAATAAGCGAAAGTCGGAATGTTACATGTGTGTGCAGGTAGCAACACCTTGGAAGCATGTCGAAAAGAGCATCACTAACCTGGTGCACCCCTGGACCCCGCCAACCCCAAACGGTTGTCAGCAAATGGCCATGGCTCAAGAATGGGGTACTAGTACATAGATGAGTACCATCCAAACCCACAAACAGCTGCAAGAACATTGGAAAACATACTGTAGACAAGTTTACCTGTGGTTCCCGAGCAGGTCTTGTTTCTTGAGCCACAGAGACCAAGGACCTAAGGAGTTCAGCCAAGGAGCTCGATAGAGCTCTGCAAAGCCTTCCATGAGATCGTCCATGAAGTCTCCAATCTGCGTTCGTGTCTGCGGAAAGCATGGACATGGATCATGGTCCTTCCCTATGATCTTCGGGCGCCCAGGATCTCTGGACCTGAAACAGTATGGTACGTGTTTACATAATTAAAAAATAATAAGATGATACAAAATATTAGAATATAAATAAATATAAGTAGACTTAGACCTTTCTTCCTATTTTCTGTTTTCATTGTTTCTGTCTTGCTTGCTGTTGACCTTTTGTGAAAGGGTCACACCTATGCTATCCCTCAGGCCCAACCACCAGCATCAAGGCTGAAATGCTGAATTCCAAGTCCAACGCCTCAAGTTTTTTCTTCTCTCCTGCAGTTGAAGTATGCATGCTCAAACTCGATGTAGTCAGAAGTTTGCGATATAAACCAGTGCGCATGGAAACTGTGTCTGCGTTATCAGATAAGCCGATGCACTCATGACAGAAGAACTCACGCGCTGATGGGCTGTTAGTTGGATACGCTGATATTTCAGCAATTAGCATGCCAAGACGAGCCATTCACGATATGCCATTCACGATATGCTGTTGCTTTGATCATATGACGCAGTAACGGCCATATGATCATATGCCTGTACGCTGTCCTACAAATACGCTGATACTTGACAAAGGGCATGCACGAGGTACAACTCAGGCCATTTGCTGCCCGCAAGTGTGCTGCCTTTCTGCTGGTAAATCGGCACATTCACAGCAATGGATCACCGCATGAATTTAACAGTGAGTTTGAAATGATGAAACTATTTTTTGCGAACAAACATGCACATTATGCTCAAAGGGCGTTCCTGACATACGAATCATCCTGTCATTACACCCTTCCAACCAGACTCCTTTGATCTTGTGATCCGTCTTGCCATCGACAAGCTCTTCCTCACCGGAGTCCTGACAAGCGTGCCAGTGAAAGCTGACAGATTCATGGCCCATCCGTCATGTACTCCATACACTACATGAAGTTGAAAGAGCTATATAACATATATGATATTACAGCAACTTTGGAGAAGCTAGGGAGGCCAGAACCCATAATATGTTCCAAGGTGTGTGAAACCTGTTCCAAAGCCGTGTACTGCAATCAGTTGGCAAAAAGCAACGTTCTACGGTTCACGATGTTCTATGTATTAGTCCCTTGTCACAGCTTTGCCCGCTGTTCACTCCTCTTCTTCTGAGTCGTCATTTTCGGCAGCTTTACTCGACTTGGCCTTTTCGTCTCCAACGTGCCGACGACACAGTGCATCGTATCAGCGTGAGACGAACCGTCGCTCGGAGTTCGCTCGGTACAGTTAAAGTTACAACGTCGCTATTTTGGTACTTGGATGTGATCAAGTTATCGGAGGGAGAGAGACAATGACGGACAGGGCTGCGATATTAGAAGCGACCACACACAGACGTGCAAGGATATTGAATTCAAAAGAAAACACATGTCTGGACTGAATGTCATAAGGACATGTGTACCGTATGCACACGTAATCACACGTACATACATGTACAGTATACAAAGGTGACTGATCAATGAAAACCGGAAGGGATATGCATTCTCAATCTGCCATCATCCATCATCAGCGTGCAGTCACACTGACCGAGCGGTACATTTCACCAAGTGTCTGCGCCGGTTGCCTTGCCGACAGCACTGGAGACTCCACTAGCAGCTTTCCTGACGACAATCAATCAACATCGATACAAGCAATGTACATGTTCCAGGTCCAAATCAGGGATTCTTTTCATGCTGGAGGCCATCCTTAGCAGGTTGGAGGCCATCGCTATTAGGTTGGAGGCCCTCGCTATTAGACTCTTTTCTTGATCTCAACAAGTGCAAATGCACGTGGGTGGCTGTGTCTCCAGATTCCACAAAGCAAGGGACGGTGGCGGTGTGCTTCCTTTGCTTGTCTCTCTGGGTCCGTTAGATGCTGGTCCTGGTATTTTGATCCTTGTCAACCTCCAAGTTTCCCTACCAAGTTTTTCACACCTACCATGTGCTCCCGCTTAGCAGCTTAGCACCACACAACAAGGGACTCTTCGAAGGAGAGCTGCATGTGCATAAAGTGAGTTGAAACTGGGTTTTTTAAGCTTGGCAACCACAAAGGCTCGACTCTCACGTCCTGTGATCTTGGAGGATTGATGAGACACGTGACATGTTCCATGTGCGACTGAGCCCTTGACGCCATCTTCATCTGGGCACCAATGCTCGCCATGTCCAAGCACTTTGGCCGATCGGCAAAGTTGTCTGGCGCAGTCTCTTTGACTAGCTACGGCTTGCGGGCCAAGTAAACGTAGAAAAAACGCGAATAAGATTGCTAAACAGTTTGCTGGTCCTGGCAACTTCGAACAACTAGCATACAGCATACAACTGTGAAGTAAGAAATGGCGGCGTGGCACAAACATACACAGCAATTGCCGCGACAGAGTGACCGATGACACAAACCATGTGGAAAAAACTTGACTTTCTGAGCTAGGATTTCAGGCTCAAAACATTGCATGAAACCCTATACACATCAATGCATGACTGAAACCTGGTTCCAGGGTCTGATGTTTGAGCCACATCCACTTCATGGTTCTGGTGGCAAGGCAGCCCTGGCAGCCCTTGTCCTCGATGAGGCAAACTGCATCCTGGTCGACCTGCAAGACTTCTGTGTCTCAACCATTCTGAAGGATCAGTTGTGCTTGACACTGGACACTTGGAAGATTTTTTTGCCCGTGGCCATGGTCCTGCCTCCTTGCTTAATTAAGTAGGCACCTACTTAGGCCTACTTGATTAAGTAAGGGAGAAAACACGCTACTAGCAATGGGAAGCTCCTAGCTAGGACGTAGCATAGCTCACGTTTCTTCAAGGAAGCTCCTCCCGCCTGAAGGCGGGGGAGCTTCCTTGAAGAAGCGCTCACACTAGTGATTTGGTTCCTAGGTTTTTAGGGACACTTAACCTCATACAAATGTATTGTCTACTTTCCCCCAAACTTTACCATGTCTTCCAATCCGGCAAACTTCGTCATCACAATCCAACTGTGCAAACATGTATATATATAGGTTTGGAGAGAGAGAGAGAGAGAGTCACAGACCACAGAGAGAAACACAAACATTGGCATATGTTTCTTGGGATGCCCTTCGATTGTCGGTTTGGCGGTTGTTCAGACCCTCACCTAAATGGCACAGTCAGAAAGTCATAAATAGGTGCGCCGGTGCACCGAATTCTGACCAGGGAGTCAGCAATACTGCACTATTACCGCCCATTTTTCTGGGGGCTCTCAGTATTCTCAATGGTCCTCTTGACCATCCCTGAGTGCAACTTGGGGAAAGAAGCCGTCAGGTCGTGGTGGGGATGGCTCAAAAATGCTCGAAGTAAAGTCAACAAAGTCACCAACCAAAAAACTAAAATGCACGGCTCAATGGAACTTCAAACAATGTGTTCACTCACTCATCGCAATTCGTAACACATCAGGAACCATCAGAGAAGCTGCAAAACTACCTGTAAACAGCTCCGCGCACGTGTTGAGCCCCACCTCCTCAGCGTTTGCTTTGGGGCGAAAACCTTCGCAAACACGAGGGATACATTTTCCGTCTGCCAGGCGTGTGGCATCCTGTTTCCAAACCAATCAGACCTTATAATTAATTGCTTGTGGCACAGCAATCGGGTATAATTGTATGCTATTCTAAAGGATCCTAGAGGAAGCTTGTGCAAAACCCTACTAGTGCTACTGATGAGCCACCTTCGGTCTGCCTCGAGATAGAAGTCTGCGAGCCATTAGCCGCTCCTTCTCCCATCCTGAAACCGCGTGGCCGAAACTCACCGGGACCACGCGATCCACGATTACCTTGCCACAGCAACCATGGCTGTCTCCCGATGTTTTCACAAAGCCATTTGGACTGTGAAGAGTAGCATGCAATCTTCTTGGCGACTGAATGCCAAACTGTCATAAACTGCCCGCCGGGTTAGTTACTGGGCCACGATTTGGTTGATTTTGTGCGTTTGCACACAGCGAGAAGCAAATTCTATATATGAAAACGGGACGCATAAGCCAAGTTTTCTGGGAAATGCATGAAAACGAGACGTTTTTTTCGAGGTTGTCTCTGGTTTTGCTTCAAAGCATCGAAACTGCACCGCGAGCTTTTCTTTCCCACATTCAGAGCTTGCGAAGCTGCTGCGCGGTATGCGTGAGTAATCTTTGGGTTCCGATCTCCTATCTCCTCTACGATCCTGACTCATCCTGACTCCTCGTTCCAAAACTTGTTATTTGATTATACTGTATACTAATAATATAATCCTAGGACCATTGACAAATTTATCAAATCCTGACTCCTCGTTCCAAAATCCGGTCGGCCATGTCAGCCTGGATCCGCTCCAAGCAGGTTCTCATCCGCAACTGAGTGTCGCATCAAATGCAAAGAACGAAGCGTCTTTCACAGGGTCTTGCAGACTTGCAGCCACATCAATTCACGGGTGTGTTCGCTTCAACGTTCCTTCTTTCGCTAGTGAGTGAGTGAATCTCTGCCATCCAATCTATCCGGTTGCAAGACACATGGACCACAAACGCTCAGGTTTAGACCTGGTGTTACCTGCAGCTGATCAAGGTTCAGTCATAGAAGGGCATGTAAGCAGCTTGAGATTCCTTTCCTTTCGCTTTTGCTGCGTTTCTGGCTTTTGCAAAATCATCCGAGGTTCGAGTTCTTTTTTTTCGTGTGACTTTATCCACGCAAATTCCATAACAGAATGGCCATGGATGGTGCTCACATGTGCTCACCGTCTCACCGTCTCAGTTACTAGTAGCTTCTTGTTCCTAGTAGCGTCCTTGCTCCTAGTAGCGATGCCAGGAGCCCCTAGAAGCGTCCTTGCTCCTAGTAGTAAGGCCAGGGGCCTCTAGTAGCTTCTTGTTCCTAGTACTAATGCCCTTTGTTACTAGTAGCTTTTTTCGTGCTCTGATGCCCTCGCCTTGCTTTCCCCACACATGATCTCCACCACCTCCGCAACCTCCGCCAGCTCCACCTCCACCTGTTCTTTGGCTTTGCCGGGCACTTCTGGTTCCGTCCTTGACACGGTGCGCTTCTGTGTTCCTAGATTAGGTCTCCGAAACATCTTGGGGAACGCTCAAAGGTTGGACAACTACCAGTTGAGAGGGCCTTGAGAGTATATTACTTTAATACAAATGTATATAGTTACTTAGCATGATTCGAATTCTTCGATCGATCGTCTAATGTGCTGACTGTCTGGAAGCTCAGGCCCCGGCCCTGCACGCCCTGAGCCATCTGGAGCCTGACAGCCCCAGATTCCACGCGTGGCCAAAAACCGGACAAAAGATGGCTTTCGCTTCAAGTAATTTTCCAAAGACCAAAAAAAAAAGAATGTCAGAATTAATCACATCTGACATTACAAACATCGCAGAAGAACTTGGAAGATTGCCCATCCCATCCCCAAACGGGTGGGGCATACCTCGCCCGTTGTCGAACCAACTTGCCTCAGCCTCTATCGCGGGCGTTCCTTCCGCGGGGTCCGAGGCACCTCATGTGCGGTTCACCGCCAGCCCGGCGAGCGACGCCAGGTACAGTACGCGATTCTTGGGGCGGAACTTTCAAAACCAATAGGAATCTGTTGATTTTGAGTACTGTGAAGGCAAGTTTCGACGTGGAACGGAACTTCGCAGGTCTGAGAACTCACATGTGTCTTATCTTTTTGTTCACAGGGATTGGTGTGCAATCTTTGACCAGAATCCCAAGAGCCCCGCCAATTGCGCAGAAAAGACTGCGAATGCGGTTGACAGGGAGGTAAACCCATGGTAAAACGTGTAAAGCTGTGCAATGATCACCTCAAATGATATAGGCAGGGTCGGCAGGACATGAATAGAGAGCCCCTCGCACCTTCAGCTTTGGGCTCGTTCTCGGGCGGCTTTGGGCGTCTCTTGGATTTCGGAACCAGCTTCAAGGGCTCTTTGTGCTCCTCCATGATCACAAAACACAGCCCTGATTAGGATTGATGTTACTCACCAAAGTTACTACTGCTGGATGGGAGCGCTTGCCTGCCTGATATTGAAAAGAAAGCATTGCACATGCCACCATGCAAATCACACGCTCTTGCGCACACTAGGGCCTACAGTAGGGTGTTTCTGCTCAAGACACTGCGGAACCCATCCAGCATCGCACGCAGAACCCATGCTGCATCCTGTGGCTTCGATTTGGGCCGCGCTTTGGGCTGCGGCTTCAATGGCGGTGTTTGTGTCTGAGCCTCAAACCGACTCGTATCCAAAGACTCAACAGGTGTTTATTGCGTCAGCCTGCGTCCGTGGTGGTTTTAGAATCCGACTTGGACGAACAAGTCTGTCACACGCGATGCACGCGAGAATTGTTGGAGTGCTGGAGTTTGAGACGTCTATCATGGTCGAGCATACATCCAAAGTCAAAAGTGTAAAAATATTATATATAATATGAATCTAAACTGGAACCCAATATGGCCGGCCCAATTGAAGTCCACGATGGCAACCTCCTCGATTTGATCAGTCAGGATTGTGCCTATATGTGACATGATCCACATGCAAACTTTCTTATGTCAGGTTCCCCCATGTTACCCTCAACCTTGAAAAACACACAGGCAACTGGTGGGATTTGAAAGTTGAGGCTACCGTTCCCCCTATCCCTATCCTTTGAGGTATCATTAAGATACGGCTTTGGATGAAAACATTACACCAAAAAACGTGCTAGAGCTTGCCCGGATTACTGCATGATTGGAAGCCAAGTGTCTTCAATTTTTAGCAAATAAGCTGACACATCCAAGCAGGTGCCATGTGTATGTGTTTAAACCCTATCGTTTGTTGGCCGTCCCCTATCGGTTTCCAACGAAAATCAACAAAACAAACTATTTATTGATAATTCTGCCATCTTCCCTGACTCCCTAAGTTTCCCTCTTAATCAAAGGCTATAACTCATAGCCGTTTCAGCCTTTTTCCAGCTGCTTTTTTCCACATGCTAGTGTGGTCGGGTTTATTACTTTTTCTCGGTTCCACTTACCTCCTCTCCCTCCTCCTTCTCCTCCTCCCCTCCGCCTCCCGCCCGCCCTCACCACGCTCATCTCACACAGCTCGCAGGACCAATTCACTCACACCAATCTCACACACACCAACTCACACAACCAACTCACTGTTGCCGCGGGTCCGCGCTGGTTCCCCTTGGTCCGGGAAACATGAGTGTAAACGCGGCGTGTCGAGCGGGAACCACTACTCATACCAACTTACTCAAACCACTCATACCAACTTCCCCACACCAACTTGCACACGCCAACTTGGTCTTGAGTCTGACAGTCATGGATCAGTATGAATGTTCATACTCGGGATCCTTGGTTGATCATTGGTTGGAATAATGTGCATGACCCAATGTCATGTCATTGGATCTTGAGTGTTCCAATTGGTTGAGAATTGGTGTCATGACTCGAACATGGTTGCTGCTTGTGCTCACTGCCTACAGATTTTTTGCACGCAGCGATCAAGCGCTTGCGATTGGGCCAGGCAGATGCAGTAAGAACCTCAAGTCGATGGCAAGGGTTCACTTCCAAGAAACCTTCCAGCTGCCTCAGGCTGCCTAGGTTCACTGGAGATGGGATTGACGGGGAGCTTCATGAGTACATTATACTGATACTTGCTGCATTTGCTCATATTGGGACCCACCAGTCTGGGCACTACTCTCCTGCGCCTTTTGACACCAAGGAAAATGGCTGGTACACGTGTGAAGATCGAGAGCAACCTGTGGCGGTGCACTCGGTCCCGACCTGGTTCAAGACGATGGTCATGATGATCAGGGCAGTGAGGGTGCAGGACACAAATTTTCACTTGGCTGCTCCGTTTGAGCCCTCACAAATGGACACGGTCTTGCAGCTTTATGCGGGGTGATTGATTCATTTTCCTTTGAGACATTTTGGCAACTTTGATTTCTGCTGATGACATATCAAGCTCTGACGTGTGAGCAATTGGATTTTGACCCTGTCCCTCGAAGTGGCACAGACTCTCTAGCGCAGGGAGCCATGATCCTATGATCATGTAACAGCACGCTCAAAGCTTTCGACATTGCCTGGTGTCCGAAAAAACAAAAACATCAAAAAGCAAACGCTAACTCACTCACGTCAACTCACTCACACCAACTTACACACACAGACTACACATGCAAACTTTCCAACGCCATATCACTCACACAAACTTACTCACATCCACTCACTCACATCAATGTATTCACACCAACCTACTCAACTTACTCATACCAACTCAAATTCACCCATCCCAACTTACACGCACCAACTTACACACACACTCACCCACACAAACTCACTCAGAACTCAAGTCACACCAACTCAAGACCACGAAGTTAATATCAAGCTTCCGAAAATGCTTTGCAAGATTGATGCTGTTGGCGCAAATGAAGCTGCTGAATCCAACATCATCCACACACACACATCCTTTCGCATCACGCCATCCAATCCATCTCGCCTCGTTCGCTATCACTCCTTTACCATCCGCTTTTTTGTTCCGCTTTCCAATGCAAATGTAAGCTGAACATGTGGGATTATCCGGTTCTTCGTTTTTTAGTGGGGAAACCAATCCCAAAAAATGTTTAATCTGGTTTAAGGCCTAAGGTTATCCACTGATGGGGTAGGTTCTCAAAAAACTGACATGTGCATCTGATGGCAGCCAAAGACGCATTGCCATCTTCCCAACTCTTCGGGCGATACCAGCCTGACGAGCGATGTCTGCACGCCCCTTCGGTCAAACAGGAAAAGATAGGAAAAGTAAAAGCTGTGAAAAAAGCAACGACTGGGATTCGTTCAGCGTGAATTCAAGCTGTGGTGCTGCCCTAAACAGAAAGGACATTCGGAGTGGACCATGAGTAGAGGAGTGGAGCTTTGACCTGTTCAGTGGATGAAAAATACCGGGGAGAGCGGGTGCGGAGTCAGGTCTGGCAACTCCAGGGGCGACTCACCACTAGCACCAGGTGAGTCCCATGCCGCCCCAGCATACAACTATCCAGTGGATTAGGAAATTCAACCCGCGATGTTTCTTTGCATCAAACTCACAGGAACGCGCATACCTCGATGATCAGAATAAAGTGCGCAAACTCCGTGTGAGACAGCTGAGCGCTATGCGGAAAGCTTTGCCACCCTTCTTGTAGGCACTCCAGCGAACCACCTAAGTAAGGCGAAGCGGAGTGCTCTGCAGCACAAGAACTTCAAATCCGAATGTAACAGACCATCCAACTATTGTTGAAAGAAAACCAAATATATTGCTGTAGTATATCCGTATATATCTACAGTATGTATAGCTTGCCTTTATCAGCCAAGCCCCACCTGGTCCTTCGGCTGTGGCGTGTCTAAATAGTATCCTTGGTGGTGCAAAGTAGCAACGTTTCAGAACCAGAGTGAGAAGGTCGCATGGTGAGAAGCTGATTGTTGGTGAGAATCAAGGTCAAACAAAAGCCCGTCTTTCCAAAGTGCATACCAAAATACACGGCACCTAGCCACAGGATCTGGGCAGTGTTGTTTCTCGATTGATCGTGAGATGTCGGGCAGTGAGGCATTGATATCATTGATCAATTCACATGCTGAGGGTCTTTGGCTGGTCCCCCAAGAGATCGCCTTCCACTTGTCCTGAACAAATCCAAATCGGACTAAAATGTCTCAGGCAGACTGAACAAGGCAGACTGACACAAGTTCAATCAATCTGAATTGTGAGTGCCTCGAGAACTCGCGTTCAGCACACAAGTGCAGCTGGAATACAACTGTAGTAGTTTGCGTGACAAGCTGTGTTTTTGTTCTGAAGATGCCTGCATACAGTTCCTTCTCAATATCGATGATGACTTGGAGTATATATATATATATTATATATAGCCTAGAAGTCAAAAAAGTACATTTTGACCGACTGAAGTAAGGAAAAGTGAGTTGAAAAAAACACCGTTCTAAAATCATTATCCTAGGTTGGAAACCACAGCAATTCCAAGCGGTGGCTATCATGTACACAACATGCGCTCATGTATATGGTTGTATGTTGTGCATGCCCTTTTAACTGCTGCATTCTTACTTACAGAGTCCAACTGTTTCAAAATGTGAAGCTGAAAGTAGCCGTCCTCTTGCACCCAGAAGCAAGTTGTCAAGATATGGTTAATGGCTTTCCTATCTTTTGTTGTGTATACAAAGCCCCCGCCCCGACCCCACCAGCTGCCCTTCTTGTTTTTTCAATTTTCTTCACTCGCGCGTCTGAGTGTATGTTTGCAATAGTGGGAGTAGTAGGCCCTGCTCAGCACTTGGACAAGTGGTCAAAGTTGCAAAGGGGTCTAGCGCGGGTCTAGCGCGGACCTAGCGCGCTTTCCTGCCAGTGCATGAGGCCACCAAACGTCTGTGATCAAGAACTCGCTTTGTCTTATCTCAAACAGTCGCTGCCTTTCAAACAGTAGCTGCCTTTGTCGGCGAATTGTTGCCTTTCAAACAGTTGCTGCTCTTGGGTCTGTGCGGGTGTGTGCGTGTGTGTGTAACCCTTGGAATCATAGGGATCCGTCAGGATTAGT